CGAGTCCTGGAGGGCAGACAAGGGGTGAGGCCTTGGGAACACCCCCTTCCAGCTCCTGGTGCAGGAGCTCAGCACTGACATGGAGGGGACACGGCCTGTTCCTGCAGCTCCTCCCCGCGCCCTTCACCCTCCTGTGCCTTCTGCTCGATGCCTGGTGCTTCCCTGGCAGCATCTTTCATCTCCCCCCACGTCCCCCAGCGTCCCTGAATGGAGGAGCCGTGTCCCACCTTCTTCTTGCCCGGCTTCACAGGTTGTTCTGCTGCCTGAGCCTCAGCCTTGGCTTGGCTGGTCTTCCTTCCAACTGCCTCGAGCCTGACATGGTGCTGACCCTCCCCGCTCCTCCAGCCACCATCTCGGGCTGGTTCCCTCTGAGTGCACCCAGCCTGGGGGTCCCCACTGTGGGGCAGAGCTGTGTCCCCCCTGCCCAGCTGCTGGGCCCGAGGCAGGAGGATTCAGGAGGTGGATGCTGCAGGTTGGGTCCCACGACGCGGCTGCATCTCGCTGCCCTGGGGCAGGCGGGGAGGACCCAGAGCTCTGGGCAGAGCTTTGGGCTCTCCAGGGCATCCCAGCCCCGTGAGGAGGGTGGGCACCTGGAATGCCTTTGCTTTGGGACCCCCTGGCAGCCCCGTGTGGAGCTGGGCTCTGCAGCCAAGGCCACAGGCTCCTTCCCTGCTGGAATTTGGCGTCCTCCTCGTGTCCCTGCCTGGGGGGGCAGGAGGCAGCCCTGCCGTGGGTCTCCAGGCTGCTAGTCCTGTTCCTCCACCTGCTTTTGTACCGTCTTCCATGCACCTTCTGCTCCTCGGGCCTTGCAACACCCACCCTGGCCCAACCAAGCACCTGCCACCCGGGAAAGAGGGAACGAAACCCGCGCGGTTCCGTCTGGGCCCGGGATGGAGCAGAGCAAGGGGGGGTTTGTGCTTCAAAACGGGGGGTCCCCAAGACTGAGGCCTTTTGCCCAAGAGCACCCCCATCTCCTGCACCCCCAGGGGATGCTGCACCACCCCCTTTCCTCCTGCCACGTCTTCCCCAAACACCCCAAACCCTTGAGCAAACCTTGAGGATGGGGTGGGCACCTTGGGGGGACCCTGCACCCACCAACCATGGTGGGGTTTTGCCCGGGAGAGGAGAAGGAGGCACCTGGTGGAGCAGAGCAGGGACCACCCCAACCTGTGATCCCGTTTTCCCTGGAGGGCTCCACTGGGAAAACAGGAATTTCTGGGTTTGCTCTTTCTTATATATTTTTGTAGGACTTTTGGGGGGTGGGAGGGGTGGGGTGGTTGGGAGAGCAGATGGGAGATGCCTGTGGAAGTTGTTTATTTTTAACCCCCTAGCAAGTTTTGGGTTGGTTTTGGGTTATTTTTGGCCTTTAAAAACAAAACTTGGTCCTTGCTTTGGATGTTTCTGCTGCCTCCCTGTAAATCCAGATGTACTGAAGTGGCTGAAGTCCTTGTTCTTAAATCAGATACACATTATAGTTTTGAACTATATATATAGTAAATATATATATATATGCCTAACCCAGCAAAAAAAAAAATAAATACAATTAAAAAAAAATAAAGTATTTGGGGGTGGGAAAATGGGTTTTCTTTGAAATGAATCACAATTGGGGGATAAAATTGTGTTTCTGAGTGCCTCAAGATATGAATTGTTTTCATTTTTTTAAATAATTTTATACAAGTGTCAAAACAGCTGGCTGGATTATTTGGAATTTTTAAATAATCCTAACTTTTTTAAAGTAGATTTTGAGAACTGTCCTGTATATAACAGTAATGTAGCAATAAATGTGACATTTTATAACAATATCACTTCTTTTCCCCCCATCTCTGGTCTTTCAGATGTTGTAGATCTGGGAATGAAAAGTTGTACTGAAGGTTTTTAGCTTCTGTTGAACAAGAAGAGACAAGACAGGGGAGGTTTTCAGGCACTGCCCTGTTCCTGGGCCCTGGGGAATGTTCCCAGCACTGCCCATCACCAGGGGGTCTGGGCACCTTCCCCAGCAGCCCCCAGAAACCTCAGCAGGTGTGTAGAATCATCAGATCATTTTGGTTGGAACAGACCTCTGAGATCATCAAGTCCAACCACTAACCCAGCCCTGCCAAGGCCACCCCTGCCCCGTGTCCCTCAGCACCACATCTACAGGGCTTGGAAATCCTTCCAGGGATGAGGATGCCAACTCTGCCCTGGGCAGCCTGGGCCAGGGCCTGACAGCCCTTTTGGGGAAGGAATTGTTCCCAAAATCCAATCCAAACCTCCCCTGGCACAACCTGAGGCCATTTCCTCTTGTCCCATCCCTTGTTCCTGGGGAGCAGAGCCCGACCCCCCTGGCTCCAACCTCCTCTCAGCAGCTGCAGAGCCAGCAGGTCTCCCCTCAGCTCCTTGTCTCCAGGCTGAACCCCCAGCTCCCTCAGCTGCCCCTGCTCTGGTTGGGGGGCTCCTCTGCCACCCCGGGTGCAGTTCATCCCAGGTGACACGTGGCAGGGATCTCCATGGCTGGAAGGGTTTCCATGGGGAATTCAGCCCTGGCTGGAAGGAGGGGATGTCACACAGAGCTGCTCCTTCCCTGCCCCGAGGAGCACCCAGTGAGAGGGACCTGCAAGTTGGACGTCAGGTCAGACACCCCCAGTCCATGCTCAGCATGTGGTGGTCACGGGGAGATGAGGTGGCAGAGCCTTCAAGAAGCTTCATCCCTGCAGGACTCGGGGCTTGGATCCAGCACCAGGAAGCAGCCCGGCCTCACAGCTTCTCACCTTCCCAGTCTCATCCATGGCAGGAAGCTCTGGATCGTGTGGGATCTCTCTCCATCCCCAGCACCCAAGCCCAGGCTCTCCCTGCCCTCACCCTCCAGCTTGGCCAGGCAGGTCCCCCTGCTCATCAGCAGGTATTTCACAGAATCCCAGAACCTTAGGGGTTGGAAGGGACCTGGAAAGCTCACCCAGCCCAACCCCCCTGCCAGAGCAGAGTCACCCAGAGCACATCACACAGGAACGTGGCCAGGGGGGTTGGAAAGTCTCCAGAGAAGGAGACTCCACAGCCTCTCTGGGCAGCCT